AGAAATATCAATTGTTTTTTCTATATACCACCAGTGAACAACTGGAATTTGAAACTAAAAACCTAGTGCCCTTTACAATAGCACCAAAAAAATCAAACACTTACAAATCTTAGTGAAACATGTATAGGATGTATATGAGGAAAACTGCAAAAACTCTACTGAAAGAAATCAAAGATATAGATAAATGAAGGGATAGTTCATATTTGTGAATTAGAACACACAACACTGTTATCAATTATTTGCAACTTGATCTACAAAGTCTACATAATGCTAATCAAAGTCTCAGCAAACTATTTTGTAGATGTCAACAGAGTCTATAATTTATAGGGAAAGACAAAAGACTGGAATAGCCAACACAAGAATGAAGAACAAAGATGAAGAACTGACACTGCCCAACTTGAGGACTTACTACAAAACTACACTGAGGTGCTATTCATCAAGGAAGTGGATCCACGGAACAGAAGAGAAGGCCCCACACATAAGTCAATTGATCTCTGACAAGAGAGCAAAGGCTTATTAGCAAAGGCTTCAAAGAGAAATCTTATTAGGATTTCAGTGGAGCAAGGAGAGGCTTTTCAACAACTGGTGCTGGAACACAACTGGATGCTCATACGACAAAACAAAACACAAAAGCCCTGACTCATGCCTGTAATCCCGACACTTCGGGAGGTAGAGGAGGGTGGATCGTTTGAGCTCAGGAGTTTGGGACCAGCCTGGACAACATGGTGAAACGCTATCTCCATAAAAAATACAAAAATTAGCTGGACGTGGTGGCATGCGCCTGTAGTCTCAGACACTTCAGAGGCTGAGGTGGGAGGATCGCTTAGGTCCAGAAGATTGAGGCTGCCGTGAGCCGTGATCATGCCACAGCACTCCAGCCTGGATGAGAAAGCGAGACCCCGTCTCAGAACAAAAACAAAAACAAAAAATCCTTGACAGACCTTACATCTTTCATAAAAATCAACTCAAAATGGGTCATAAACCTAAATACAAAACATGAAACTATAAAATTCATAGAAAACAGGAGAAAATCTAGGTGCCTTAGGTTTAGCAGTATCTTTAAATGTCCAAAGCACAATTCATGAAAGAAAAAATTAAAAAGTTGTTACTTTATTAAAATTAAAAACTTCTGGCTGGGCGCGGTGGCTCACGCCTGTAATCCCAGCACTTTGGGAGGCCGAGGCACGCAGATCACGAGGTCAGGAGATCGAGACCATCCTGGCTAACACAGTGAAACCCCGTCTCTACTAAAAATACAAAAAAACTTTAGCCGGGCGTGGTGGTGGGCGCCTGTAGTCCCAGCTACTTGGGAGGCTGAGGCAGGAGAATGGCGAGAACCCACAAGGCGGAGCTTGCAGTGAGCTGAGATCTGGCCACTGCACTCCAGCCTGGGCGACACAGCGAGATTCCGTCTCAAAACAAAACAAAACAAAACAAAAAAACTTCTGCTCTTCAAAAGGTACTACTGGCCAGGCACAGTGCTGTGATCCCAGCACTTTGGGAGGCTGACAGGCTGAGGTAGGAGATTCCCTGAGAACCCCTGAGTTTGAGACCAGGTTGGGCAACATAGTGAGATCCCATCTCTACAAAAAATACAAAAATGAGCTGGGTGTGGTGGCGCATGCCTGAAGCCTCAGCTACTCGGGAGACTGAGGTGGGAGCTTTGCCTGAGCCCGGGAGGTCAAGGTTACAATGATCTGTGATCATGCCACCATACTCCAGTCTGGGCAACAGAACAAGACCCTGTCTCAATTTAAGATAATAATAACAATAATAAAGGCAAAGATGTGAATAGATATTTCACCTGAGAGGATACTAAAGAAGGCAAATGAACATATGAAAATGCTCAACATCATCTATCACCAGGGAACTGCAAATGAAAATGAAATACCACCACACACCTACTAGAAAGACTAAAATCCAAAAAGCACTGACCACACCAAATACAGGAACTCTCCTTCACTGCTGGTTGTGAAATGATACACCCCATTAGAGGGCAGTTTTGCGGTTCCTTACAAAACTAAACATAGTTTTCCACCTTACAACCCAGCAATCACATGCCTAGATTTTCACCCAACCGATCTGAAAAGTGATTTACACATAAAAACCTGCACATAACTGCTTATAGCAGCTTTATTCATAATAGCCAAGAATGGAAAGCAAACCAATGGGTCCTTCAATAGGGGAGTGGACGAACTGCTGCATACTCACACAGAATACCACTCAGCAAGGGAAACAACGTACTGATATTCCTGACAAATGGATGAAGCTCAAATTATGTTGAGCAAAAGAAGCCAGACACAAGTAAGTATGTACTGCATGAATCTATATGAAGTTAACGAACCAAACGAATCTGTGTTAACAGGTGGTAGATCAGTGTTTACGTTTTTTTGTGGGGGGCGGGGTGAGGCAGAGGGGTACTGACTACAGAGAGCTGCTCCTTTGAGGTTATAGAAATGTCATGTATCTTTATTTGGGTGTTGGCTATGGGTGTATATATTTGTCAAAACACAAGATTTTGACAAATCTTATTAAGAGTTGGACATTCTACTCTGTATTTGTACAATAAAAATGATTATTTGGAAAAAAAAAGTTACTGGGGCAGTGGAGGGCTGTAATTGGATGTGGCTGTGGCGAAGCTTCTGGAGATGAATGACAAGTTTCCATTTCTTACCATGGGGGTGATCTGAAAGTTGTCCTTAAGTAAGAATTTATGAATCTATACATTTGTTTCATGTACTAGGCTTTCGGATGTGTGGCATTTTATAATGTAAAAAAAAAAAAATGTTTTTAAGGAGTCCATTTCATCATTGGTTGGGCTGGACTACATAATCTGTAAATAAATATTCAACCCTATAATTGTATGACTCTGTATTATTACTGACAAAATCAGTAGGCCAGGTGCAGTGGCTCACGCCTGTAACCCCAGCACTTTGGGAGGCTGAGGCAGGAGGACTGCTTGAGGTCAGGAGTTTGAGACTGGCCTGGGCAACATAGTGAGATCCCTCCTCTACAAAAAATTAAAAAACTAGCTAGGCACGGCGGTGTGCGCCTGTAGTTCCAGCTACTCAGGAAACTAAGGCAGGAAGATTGCTCATACCTGGGAGGTCGAGGCTGTGGTGAGCTGTGTTCGTCTCACTGTATTCCAGCCTGAATGACACCAAGACTATCTCAAAAAAACAAAACAAAACTCGTTATGAAGACATAAAAATATTACAAGACATTTTCTTTCTAAATGTTTTTTGTAGAAGTGGGATCCCACTATGTTGCCTAGGTTGATCTCGAACCCCTAGGCTCTCAAGAGATCTTCCTGCTTCAGCCTTCCAAAGTGTTGAGATTATAGGCGTGGGCCACGATTCCTCTTTAATAAAACTTTGGGAGGCTGAGGCAGGAGGACTGCTTGAGGTACTTTTGTTTTTAGACAGGGTCTCACTCTGTCACCCACGCTGGAATGCAGAGGTGTGATCTCAGCTCACTGCAGCCTCTGCCTACCAGGTTCAAGTGATTCTCCTGCCTCAGCCTCCTGAGCAGCTGAGACTACAGGCGTGTGCCACCAAGCCCTGCTAATTTTTATTTTTTTAGTGGAGACAGGGTTTCACCACATTGGCCAGGTTGGTCTCGAACTCCTGAGCTCAAGTGTTCCGCCTGCCTTGGCCTTCCAAAATGCTGGGACTACAGGTGTGAGCCACTGCGCCCGGCCAATAAAACTATATTCAAAAACCATTGTTTGTAGGCAAGAATCATCCCCTCTGCCTCTCCTAACTTCTGACTGCCTTGTCCTCAGAAGGGGAAGGCATCCTGAAAACACTATTTTCTAATCTGCACTGACTTCAAGGCTTGTACTGACAAGCTTTCTGCAAAAAAGTAATCTCTAGCCTGAGCAACACATGACATCCCACCTCTTACAAAGAAAAAAAAAAAATTAGCTGGGTATGGTGACAAGCACTGGTAGTCCCAGATACTCAAGAGACTGAGGCAGAAAAATCGCCTGAGCCCAGGAGTTGGAGGTTGCAGTGAACTATGATTGAGCCACTGCACTCAGCCTGGGTGACAGAGTGAGATCCTGTCTCGAAAAAAAAAAAAAAGCCATAGAGAACATGTCTATAATATAGGCTCCCACATACCTGAATCCCGTCCTGCTCTAGCCAAAGACCACATGTGACCACTAAGGCAACGTGTACACTGATGAGAAACTCCAGCAAAGGAACACTGTTCTAGGAGTTACACTAGACTGGCGCCCAGTAAAACCTTTTCAAGTTTTCTCCATATCCTCATGAAATACTCTAGTCCGGCAGCCTCGACTGCGCCCAGGATGTCTTTAGTCTAGGCTCTGCAGGCCTGGGTGGTCTCCCCAATCCCACAGATGACAGCTTACCATTCTACTATGAGGAAGGCTGTCTCAGGCGAGCCAGGGCCTTGGTCTCAAAGGCATGGGCAGAAATGGAACACTGCCCGTCTCAAATCTGTTCAGGTCAGAGCGAAGGGAAGTGCTCCAGCCCCAACCTGGTAGCTGAAAGCAGGTGTCCTAAGGAAGGAGGGTGGTCAGGTCTTGTCTGCAGAGCAGAAGCCTCTGAGAAAAATCTTTCCTGCTCTGTCGCATGGAGGCCAGACAGAGGTGGTTGGTCTTGTGCCCACAGGAAGCGGATCTGAGTTACCTTTCCACTCAGGTTAGTTCACAGGAAGAGGAACCTGTGGAGAGGATCCACCCACCCGAAAGCTCCGCCCCCAGTACTGCAGCCTTAACAGTCCTAGAATTGGACCAATTTATATCTGCACTGGGCCACAATACAGGCTCATATTTAAGGGAGCCAACATCCAACAGATTTCACCACTGTAGCATATTCAAACTACCCTGATAAGTGGAACTCTATGCGAACAGCATAACTTCAACAGACAAAGTAGGCTCCCAACAACGTGTGAAAAACCGAAGCAGGGTAAACATTTCAGCGAAAGTCAGTGTGGCACTGATTCACTTGACAGAAAGATGCAAACTGCGCATGTACAAAAACCTCTTTGAGTCCTTTATTAACGTCTGGAGATGTGTGGTACATACGATTAACAGCATCACACCAGCTACAGAAGTACAGAGAACCAAGAGAATGTACTTCAGAACAAGGATCTGAGAGCACCTTACGGTGTTGCCTGCTCTGAACCTCCACAAAAACCCAATTCTGACACACGCAAGACAGACGATATAACAATTTCACTTGGGAATGGTTCCTTTAAAAAAATGACAAGAGCTAATAGTTCAAACCCTTTAAAGTGTGAGATGCGGCAGCTCGCTTGGTGCCGTGGCACTGTTGTAAAAGGCCAACGTGGGCATTTGAAGGTCAGGCAGAAGAACCGAATGGGGTGGGTGGAAGAGGTTTTATTTTCAGTGTAGAGAGATAACAGATGGTCCGAGTGGATACTTTCAGTCCAGGCTCAGTATGGGGCCTGCAGGAATCCACTAGATAAATACAGTCTATGAACCAGAAGGCTGAAGAACCCCAGCCAGCCATCCTTGTCATTGCTTCCAACTGGTGGACACTGACGCATCCGGAGTCACTTATGACACAGAGCAGGTTTAACAGGGGTGCCCCGAACGCAAGAAGGCGGCTCACTGTGTCCAGTCAGCTCTGATCCTTTCATGCCACTGGATGTCACGGGGCCCTCTGCTTTCACATGTGAACTAAGGAACACTTCCTTTATTTCAAAGTTCCACTTTGGAAAAACCAAAACCCTCCCCCCACCCCCACCATCGTTCTTCATCAATTTGCTTCCAAACTCCTGATTCTTCTGGGTCTAGACTTTTTCCTTTCGCTTCAATTTGGACACTTTTTTGACAGTCCCGTTCTTGTTCAGAAGCTTCAGGACGCGGTCTTTATGATCTAAAACCTTCAGCATGGAGTCTCTGGCTTCACTGATTTGATCCATCACGAGTTTACACCTCTGCATATTTCCCTGAAACAGAAGACATCACATCATAAACCAGTGATCGTGAGGGCAGTACGGCTTTTAAAAAAACTGCTTGCCTTCGGGCAGAGGCCGCGTTGAGGCTTCCACATAGAGAAAACGTCTTCTTGTTTCTCAGCAGTGCAGGCTGAAGCACATGTTTTTAACTGAAGATATGAGGGATACGGGGGGCAACAGGAGCAGTAGGGCTTTACAGAAAGCAACTTCATAAAGTGGATGATCAGAAGGGAAGGGGCTCACTCAAACCTGTATCAGTTCATTTATTCGGTGGAGATCATCATCGGTTGCTGCTTTTTTCTTTGGGATAATCCCTTCCTGCAGGTTGGTAAGTCTTTCATAGACATCATGTTCTAGATTCGTCTGCAACACACAAAAGGGAGAATATCATGACCTCGGAAATCTTTTTCAATGTCAACCCCAGGCAAATGAACCCACCTTGAATCACCTTTGTAAACTGTCTAAGAGTTGTTTGGGTGACAATGTCCTTTCTCCTAAGGACTAAGATACTAAGGTTTAAAAACAGTAAAGGGGCTGGGCGCAGTGGCTCACGCCTATAATCCCAGCACTTTGGGAGGTTGAGGCGGGTGGATCACCGGAGGTCCGGAGTTCGAGACCAGCCTGACCAATGTGGTGAAACCCCATCTCTATTAAAAATACAAAATTAGCCGGGCGTGGTGGTGCGTGCCTGTAATCCCAGTTACTCGGGAGGCTGAGGCAGAAGAATCGCTTGAACCCGGGAGGCAGAGGTTGCAGTGAGCTGAGATCGCACCATTGCACTCCAGCCTGGGCAACAAGAGTGAAATTCCATCTAAAAAACAAATAAATACAATACAATAAAATAAAGGCAGTAAAGGAAACGGATCAACAAAGACTGACATTATAATTTGCCATAGTTCAGAGCCTATCTTCAAGGATAACTTTCGAACACTCTGCCTTGAATCCACAATTCCTCTGAAACACAAGTCTCCAGGTTTCACAGAAGTGATTTCTGCTAAGTCAGAAGTAGCCAAGGTACTACATTTTTTAGATACTGACAACAGACAATGTTCTTCAGGTCACTGCTACTGAAAAGAAGGAAAAACTTTATGAGGTTGTTGCCTCCTCTTCACCCAGCTAGTGAAAGAGGGATTCTTGCCCTAGCGTTATAGAAATGGCCAAACATATAAGATCCAACACTGGACAGATAAGATTAACAGCAGTTTATGAATCACAAATACAGTCATGCTCTGCTTTATGACAGGGATATGTTCTGAGAAATGTCTTTAGGCAACTTTGCTGTTGTGTGACCATCACAGAATGTACTTACACAAACCTAGATGTTATGGACTACCACATACTTAGACTACATGAGAGAGCCTACTGCTCCTAGACTACAAACATGTATACCATGTCACTGCAAGGAATAGTGCGGGAAACAGAAACACAGTGTTAACTGTTTGTGTGTCCACACATATCTACACATAGAAACGGTATGGTAAAAATATGGCATGACAGATTAAAAACGGTAAAGAGCACTCACGTGAATGCAGTCTATCAGGACGGTGAAGTTGCTCTGGGTGAGTCAGGGGGTGAGCAGTGAGTGAATGTGAAGCTCTAAGACATCACTGTACACTACTGTGGGCTTTACAAGCACTGTGCCCTGAGGCTACACTAAATCTATTAAAAATATTCTTCTTTCTTCAATAACAAATTAACCTTAGCATACTCTTTTTACTTTACAAACTTCTAAACTGTTTTAAACTTTTTGACTCTTTTGCAATAAAACTTAGCTTAAAATACATGTTGTGGGACAAATGTGGACACTGTTGGGCAGTTACAAAAAATTATTTTCTTTATATCTTTATTCTATAAACTTTGTTTTCTTCCTTTTTTTTGAGATAGCGTCTTACTCTGTTGTCCAGGATGGAGTGCAGTGGCGCGATCATGGCTAAGGGCAGCCTTGGTCTTCCGGGCTCAAGAGATCCTCCTACCTCAGCCTCCCAGGTAGCTGGGACTAGAGGTGTGCACCACTACACCCAGCTAATTAAAACACTTTTGTTTTGTAGAGACAGGGTCCCACTATGTTGCCCGGCGGGCCTCAAACTCCTGGGCCCAAGCAATCCTCTTGCCCCAGCCTCCCAAAGTGCTGGGATCACAGGCCTGAGCCACTGACCTTGGCCCCTTATTTTGGATTAAAAAAAAATTTAAC